GTGTCCATTCATTGTGAATGGGGCGATGGGTTGTTGGAAAATTTCAAAGTGTCAGCCCTAGTATGGGATTTTTCAGAAAGTGTTTAGGAGCACGTTTGGGGCCATTTGGAGTGGATTGGGACAGGTTTGTATGTTGACTGTTTTGGAGTGTCTGAGGTGGTTGGTTGTGTGTAGGCAGGTGTGGGAGTGGTTAGGTTCAGGGTAAGGCTACTGGGAAAGGTGTTATTTGGAGTGATAGACATGTCTGTCATCAGCGTGCCTGCCAGCCAGCCATTTGGAAGCTAGGGTTAGGGTTACCCGATAGGAATAGGGATGAGTGCAACATTAGACATTGGTCTAATGAGCATGTTTCTCCTCACAGGAAGGTTGTAGAGAGTTCAAAGCAGGTTCAATCTGTTCATTTTTTCCTTCCGCTTCTTTGGGTGTCAGTCTCGACTTAGGGTTAGGGTTAGGGTTAGGGTTAGGGTTAGGGTTAGGGTTAGGGTTAGGGTTAGGGTTAGGGTTAGGGTTAGGGTTAGGGGTTAGGGGTTAGGGTTAGGGTTAGGGTTAGGATAATAGGACTGAGTCCTTCCCCTCGTAGCCCGAGGGTTAGGTGGTGCACGGTCCTTCCTCCAGTCCGCTCTCTTTCCCGAATAACTCCTATCACTTGGATTATATCCTCGCTCACGTGAGCGGCCTTGTCGTCTGCCATACCTGACAACATGCCAGTTTGTGTCCTCCTGATATCCCCTCATTCTGATGGGTCTGTTCAGCGTTGTGTGTATGTTTGTACACAACTTTGTGTTAATGATTGACTGGTGAGCGTTGTGTGTAGCAGCTGTACACAACACTAAAATGATGATTGACTGGTGAGCGTTGTATGTTTGTATAAACAACACTTTTTTTATAAATTATGATCCCACAGGTCAGCGTTGTGTGTTTGTGTAAACAACACTTCTTGAATTCTGATCCACAGGTCAGCGTTGTGTGTTCCTGTAAACAACACTTCTTAAATTCTGATCCACAGGTCAGCGTTGTGTGTTTGTGTAAACAACACTTCTTGAATTATGATCCCAAAGGTCAGCGTTGTGTGTTTGTGTAAACAACACTCCTAGAATTATGATTCCAAAGGTAAGCGTTGTGTGTGGCACTAAAACAACACTTAATTGAATGTGTATATCACTGCTGTGTGCCTCCGTGGGCTCTTAAACAGACAGCGTATATGAACAGCAAAACAAGAGCAGAATACTCTAAATCTACACCACAAAAGTGTCCCACTAAAGGGTTAATGAAGCGGTGTATGTAAGTAATTATAGTTGTTTTATTTAATACTATGCTAAGATATATCTATATTAAATGAGAAATTAATTTTGAAATCAAAGCTGAAACTTAAAGAGACAAAAGTGTCTAAAATAAAAAGCTAATTTATTTGTGAATATTCTAATTAATGTGTGCCTGTGCGCAACGTTTCGACCTAAGCGGTCTTCATCAGGCGAAAGGCACACTGTAAAAGAGCAAAATCCTATGCTGAAAAGTTCTGTGCTGTATGACTGGCAGAAGGACTGTCCGTACCAAAGTCTAAGCAAGAATGAGCCCTGTGTGTTCCTCCTCTGGCTTTTATACCCTCCCCCGAACTGGGGCTGGAAGTTCGTGCTGGAAGTTCGTGCTCTGTGCAATTGTGGATTTTTGCTGCTAAATTTTTATGAAGGCTTTTAAAAGTCTAATTTTTGGTCCATTAAATTATTATGTTGATTGTTTATGCTAGGGTGAAAATTGAGATTTTAAATTTAAATTTTTAATGTGAAAATTGAGTATATAGCCTTATCGACTATTTTTTAAGGTGTAATTATTTTTAAACTGATTATTAGCTTTAAATTTTGGAGATCTGAGCATATTTTGGATTCCCGAGTGAGTAAATGGATTTAATTAAGTGCTAATTGTTGTATTAATCATGTTTGAAAGGGTATTTATGCCAAATTGTTGTATTTTAATCATGTAAACGTCCAATTAATAGTGTGAATTTGTTAACCTAAAAGATATTTTAATTAAAGAGCCTATTTGTAATCATGTATACTATTTTATATTTTCAATTGGACTTAATTGAGTGCTATTTGTTGTATTAATCATGTTTGAAAGGGTAATTATGCCAAATTGTTTTAATCTGATCATGTATCCGTCCAATTGAAAGTGTGATTTTGTTTTCCTAAAAGTTATTTTAATTAAGGAGCCTATTTGTAATCATGTAAAACGTATTTTAGATATTTTTGATTGAATTTGAATGTAAAAAATGACTAGAAATAATGTAAATTGGCTCGATCAAGGCCCTAATTCTGGTTTGTTGTGAGGGGTTAGTGGTCCAGGGTTTGGGATGAAGGGGTTAAGGGATTTAGGTTTAGGCAAGGAGGGAAGGGGTTAGGATAATAGGACTGAGTCCTTCCCCTCGTAGCCCGAGGGTTAGGTGGTGCACGGTCCTTCCTCCAGTCCGCTCTCTTTCCCGAATAACTCCTATCACTTGGATTATATCCTCGCTCAGGTGAGCGGCCTTGTCGTCTGCCATACCTGACAACATGCCAGTTTGTGTCATCCTGATATCCCCCTCATTCTGATGGGTCTGTTCAGCGTTGTGTGTATGTTTGTACACAACTTTGTGTTAATGATTGACTGGTGAGCGTTGTGTGTAGCAGCTGTACACAACACTAAAATGATGATTGACTGGTGAGCGTTGTATGTTTGTATAAACAACACTTTTTTTATAAATTATGATCCCACAGGTCAGCGTTGTGTGTTCCTGTAAACAACACTTCTTAAATTCTGATCCACAGGTCAGCGTTGTGTGTTTGTGTAAACAACACTTCTTGAATTATGATCCCAAAGGTCAGCGTTGTGTGTTTGTGTAAACAACACTCCTAGAATTATGATTCCAAAGGTAAGCGTTGTGTGTGGCACTAAAACAACAGGGTTAGGGTTAGGGTTAGGGTTAGGGTTAGGGTTAGGGTTAGGGTTAGGGTTAGGGTTAGGGTTAGGGTTAGGGTTAGGGTTAGGGTTAGGAATAGGGATGAGTGCAACATTAGACATTGGTCTAATGAGCATGTTTCTCCTCACAGGAAGGTTGTAGAGAGTTCAAAGCAGGTTCAATCTGTTCATTTTTTCCTTCCGCTTCTTTGGGTGTCAGTCTCGACTTCCGGTGATAACCGGAAGTGGGCGTAATTCCGGAAATAGAGGTGAAAATCCTTGTATCTCGGCAACCGTAGGTCGTAGAGACTCGGGGACAAGTCCTGCGTGTTCAGAAGGGTCGGATTATGGCAGACGGAGCGCGTTTCCAAGTGTCTGCGACGTTCGGTTCCGGAGTTATTCCCGTTTGAGTGTGTCCATTCATTGCCAATGGGGCGACTGGTTGTTGGAAAATTTCAAAGTGTCAGCCCTAGTATGGGATTTTTCAGAAAGTGTTTAGGAGCACGTTTGGGGCCATTTGGAGTGGATTGGGACAGGTTTGTATGTTGACTGTTTTGGAGTGTCTGAGGTGGTTGGTTGTGTGTAGGCAGGTGTGGGAGTGGTTAGGTTCAGGGTAAGGCTACTGGGAAAGGTGTTATTTGGAGTGATAGACATGTCTGTCATCAGCGTGCCTGCCAGCCAGCCATTTGGAAGCTAGGGTTAGGGTTACCCGATAGGGAATAGGGATGAGTGCAACATTAGACATTGGTCTAATGAGCATGTTTCTCCTCACAGGAAGGTTGTAGAGAGTTCAAAGCAGGTTCAATCTGTTCATTTTTTCCTTCCGCTTCTTTGGGTGTCAGTCTCGACTTCCGGTGATAACCGGAAGTGGGCGTAATTCCGGAAATAGAGGTGAAAATCCTTGTATCTCGGCAACCGTAGGTCGTAGAGACTCGGGGACAAGTCCTGCGTGTTCAGAAGGGTCGGATTATGGCAGACGGAGCGCGTTTCCAAGTGTCTGCGACGTTCGGTTCCGGAGTTATTCCCGTTTGAGTGTGTCCATTCATTGCCAATGGGGCGACTGGTTGTTGGAAAATTTCAAAGTGTCAGCCCTAGTATGGGATTTTTCAGAAAGTGTTTAGGAGCACGTTTGGGGCCATTTGGAGTGGATTGGGACAGGTTTGTATGTTGACTGTTTTGGAGTGCCTGAGGTGGTTTGTTGTGTGTAGGCAGGTGTGGGAGTGGTTAGGTTCAGGGTAAGGCTACTGGGAAAGGTGTTATTTGGAGTGATAGACATGTCTGTCATCAGCGTGCCTGCCAGCCAGCCATTTGGAAGCTAGGGTTAGGGTTACCCGATAGGGAATAGGGATGAGTGCAACATTAGACATTGGTCTAATGAGCATGTTTCTCCTCACAGGAAGGTTGTAGAGAGTTCAAAGCAGGTTCAATCTGTTCATTTTTTCCTTCCGCTTCTTTGGGTGTCAGTCTCGACTTCCGGTGATAACCGGAAGTGGGCGTAATTCCGGAAATAGAGGTGAAAATCCTTGTATCTCGGCAACCGTAGGTCGTAGAGACTCGGGGACAAGTCCTGCGTGTTCAGAAGGGTCGGATTATGGCAGGCGGAGCGCGTTTCCAAGTGTCTGCGACGTTCGGTTCCGGAGTTATTCCCGTTTGAGTGTGTCCATTCATTGTGAATGGGGCGATGGGTTGTTGGAAAATTTCAAAGTGTCAGCCCTAGTATGGGATTTTTCAGAAAGTGTTTAGGAGCACGTTTGGGTTAGGGTTAGGGTTAGGGTTAGGGTTAGGGTTAGGGGTTAGGGTTAGGGGTTAGGGTTAGGGTTAGGGTTAGGGTTAGGGGTTAGGGTTAGGGTTAGGATAGAGGAAGTGGATGAGTCTCGGCACCGCGCAGCGGTGTCGAGGCTCCATGCACGGGCCATCCTGCTCCAGATCAGGAAAGCTCTATTTGGAGTTGAGGCCTTTGGGGTGTAATGTTTCTAATTTCATAATCCAGGTCCTCTCGGCTCGGGTTCTCTGTGTGGCATTCCAGCTAGGGTCCATCTGGATGATCGTGGCCCGGACAGACGACCATCCATGGGCCAGAAAATGGCTGACCAGAGGTGTGTGTGTTTCCCTCCGTCTCTGGATGTTGTACCTGTGCTGGGTGAACCGCTGTAACAGCGTGTTTTTGGTCTCCCCAACATACTGCAAGCCACAAGAGAGACATGAGATGAGGTAAACGCAGTTTTTGGAGTGGGGATTACCACATGCCATGGTCTTATAGACTGTTTTATTAGAGTGGCTGCGTATCCACCTGGCATGTTTGAAAAATTGGCCGTAGCCCCTGGGTGCAGAGGTTGTTAGGGGCTTCATTTTGGCCGAGACCAGGTAATCCTGGAGGTTCTTGTTTTTTCTAAAGGCCGCTATAAACCTGTGGTTGTTCAGGTGTCCTGGCCTAAGGACTTTTTGGTCAAAATTGTGTTTAATTTTCCTACACAGGGTGACCGCTGGCCTGGAATAGGTGGTCACAAAGGGGAGAACCTCTGCCGTGTCTAATGGCCTTGTCTCCAGGAAGGTGCTGAGGGCCTTACGCCGGAAGGAGCGTGAATATCCCCTGGTGGCCAGAGCCCTGAAGAGCGTCTTTGTGGCCGCCATAAAATCACTCTTATGAGTGCATATTCTGTGGAACCGAAGTAATTGGGATTTCAGTATGCCCCTATATGTGTGTTTTGGGTGGTGACTGTTTTTAAAGAGCAGAGCATGGGTGTCTGTTTCCTTGAAGAAGACTTTAATATCTAATTTGTTAGTCTGTTTGAAGTTTGTTCCTTTATAGGTGGTGGTGTCCAAGAAGTCGACTGACGTGGTGCTGGTGGTGGACTTCAGTGTGATGGACGGGTTGTGGTTATTCAGGGTAAGTACAAATTGGTCAAATTCTTCCATGGAGTGGGACCAGATCCCCCAGATATCATCCAGATATCTATAATAATGCAGTGGTTTTTTGTTGCAGGTTGCCAGGGCGGAGGTCTCCCATTCAGCCATGAAAATGTTGGCATACGCCGGTGCAAATTTCTTGCCCATAGCCGTGCCTTTTATTTGCAAATAAAATTTGTTGTCAAATTCAAAATCATTCCTCCTCAGGTTAATGGCAAGGAGTTGTAATAATTCCTTATCTGGTCTTTTTTTATCTGGAAATTTTGTGAAAATATTCTTTATGGCCTGAATGCCTTCATCAATGTCAATATTAGTGTATAAGCTGTCGACGTCCATGGTGAACAGGATGGAGTCGGGGGGGATTTGGAGTTGTTTGACTGTATTAACAAAATGGTAGGTGTCCTTGAGATAGCCCAAATGTTTATTGGAAAGGGGATTGATGTAGTAATCAATAAATTGGGCCGTATAGTAGGTCTCACTATCACAATCGGAGACAATGGGTCTCCCAGGTGGGATTTCGAATGGAACACTCCATTTTGAGGGTTCTTTATGGATCTTGGGTAACAGGTAAAACAATCTGGGCCGGGGGATTGGATTACCCAGCAGGTAGGTGTATTGTTTTTTATTTATGAATTTTTTGTCTAATAATGATTGAATAATTGGTTGCACCATTTTTTTAGTTTCAGGGTAGATAGGTTCCTTTAAGACAGAATAATACTTTGTGTCTGTTAGCTGTCTGTTACCCTCAAATAAATATTGTTCCCTGTCCATCAGTACTACTGCACTGCCTTTATCTGCTGGCTTTATGATGATGTTTTTGTTTTCTTTTAGGTCCTTAAGGGCTTCAATTTCATCTTGGTTGAGATTGTTTTTGATTGGGAGTGGCTGGAAATTGTTTTCAAAATAATTAATGTCAGCTTGGATGAGGTCAGTGATATCTGGTGGCAATTTAGAGAGGGGGGGGCTCCAATCAGATTTTTGGGTAAAGGGGGTGAAAATTACATCTTTTTTGTTTTGAAAATAAACATGGAGTTTGATTCTCCTATGATATTGCTGCAGGTCCCATCTGCTTTGCTCAATGATGTTGCTCTGGCTCCCCCTAGTGGGGATGAAAGAGAGGCCCCTGTCCAGGAGAGTGAACTGGGCCTGGGTTAATTTGAATGTCTGTGATAACACCAGTACATTTTTTGACCCCTCCTGAGAGTGCAGGCTTATGGGGATGAGCATTTTAAATACCCCGTCCAGTGTTCAAACATGTGTTTGGCGGTGGCTTTTGTCCAATGTATGTTATCTGCCCCAGTTTCAAAAGATTTGGAGGGCAGTCTGGGGATGAAGAGGCAGTTTTTTTGAATATGTGCGTTCAGGTGGACCAGGCAGGACTGCTCTTTGAGGGGTAAGTGACGGGAATAATTGATTAAAGGCACCCAAACGGCCGCTTGGGGGAATTTAGCTTCAGCTGCCTCCACTGTGGCTAATAGCTGCTGTGTCAGGATTGTTTTGGATGCAGCGTTTCTGTTGTTTATACCAAAAGAGAGGACCAATTTCTCTAATTTGGTGGAGGTGGTGGCCTTATCAATTAGCGTTTTAGCATGTGCTAATGTCGCTCCTGGGTAGCTGTCAATTTGTAGGTTGGTGCTTTCAAATGGAGGCATTTTGGCCAAGTTAGAGTCTCCAATGAAGGCCCACTCTTTGCCAATGCTGAGGCCCCAATCCTGTATTTTATTCTGTGTGTTAATGTGTTTTGTAGGTCTCCTGGTGTTGGGCATAGGCGCTGGGGTCGGCGCTGTCGGTCTAGGCCGCAGCGTGAGTCTGCTCTGGGTTGCTCTTCTAAGGCTCCTGAATTTAACAGGAGTGGACTGAGCGGTGGAGGCCTCACAAGGGCCTTTATGGGGCTCTCCCCGATCCCCGTCCCCTGAGAGGCAGGTGATGGAGTCTGGGCTGTGGACCACACACGGGTTTAAAGGAGCAACTGTCGGTGTCAGCGCGACTGTTAGCGCTGGGGAGGCTGCTGGCACCGGAGCGGCCAACTGCCCCGGAGCAGCCGCCGGCGCTGGAGCGGCAAGCTGCACCGGAGCAGCCTCCGGCCCCGGAGCAGCCCCCGGCACCGGAGCGGCCTCCGACATCGGAGCAGCCTCCGGCACCGGAGCGGTTAGGGTTAGGGTTAGGGTTAGGGTTAGGGTTAGGGTTAGGAATAGGGATGAGTGCAACATTAGACATTGGTCTAATGAGCATGTTTCTCCTCACAGGAAGGTTGTAGAGAGTTCAAAGCAGGTTCAATCTGTTCATTTTTTTCCTTCCGCTTCTTTGGGTGTCAGTCTCGACTTCCGGTGATAACCGGAAGTGGGCGTAATTCCGGAAATAGAGGTGAAAATCCTTGTATCTCGGCAACCGTAGGTCGTAGAGACTCGGGGACAAGTCCTGCGTGTTCAGAAGGGTCGGATTATGGCAGACGGAGCGCGTTTCCAAGTGTCTGCGACGTTCGGTTCCGGAGTTATTCCCGTTTGAGTGTGTCCATTCATTGTGAATGGGGCGATGGGTTGTTGGAAAATTTCAAAGTGTCAGCCCTAGTATGGGATTTTTCAGAAAGTGTTTAGGAGCACGTTTGGGGCCATTTGGAGTGGATTGGGACAGGTTTGTATGTTGACTGTTTTGGAGTGTCTGAGGTGGTTGGTTGTGTGTAGGCAAGTGTGGGAGTGGTTAGGTTCAGGGTAAGGCTACTGGGAAAGGTGTTATTTGGAGTGATAGACCTGTCAAGAGTGTGCCAGCCAGCCAGCCAGCCAGCCAGCCAGCCAGCCATTTGGAAGCTAGGGTTAGGGTTACCCGATAGGAATAGGGATGAGTGCAACATTAGACATTGGTCTAATGAGCATGTTTCTCCTCACAGGAAGGTTGTAGAGAGTTCAAAGCAGGTTCAATCTGTTCATTTTTTCCTTCCGCTTCTTTGGGTGTCAGTCTCGACTTCCGGTGATAACCGGAAGTGGGCGTAATTCCGGAAATAGAGGTGAAAATCCTTGTATCTCGGCAACCGTAGGTCGTAGAGACTCGGGGACAAGTCCTGCGTGTTCAGAAGGGTCGGATTATGGCAGACGGAGCGCGTTTCCAAGTGTCTGCGACGTTCGGTTCCGGAGTTATTCCCGTTTGAGTGTGTCCATTCATTGTGAATGGGGCGATGGGTTGTTGGAAAATTTCAAAGTGTCAGCCCTAGTATGGGATTTTTCAGAAAGTGTTTAGGAGCACGTTTGGGGCCATTTGGAGTGGATTGGGACAGGTTTGTATGTTGACTGTTTTGGAGTGTCTGAGGTGGTTGGTTGTGTGTAGGCAAGTGTGGGAGTGGTTAGGTTCAGGGTAAGGCTACTGGGAAAGGTGTTATTTGGAGTGATAGACCTGTCAAGAGTGTGCCAGCCAGCCAGCCAGCCAGCCAGCCAGCCAGCCATTTGGAAGCTAGGGTTAGGGTTACCCGATAGGAATAGGGATGAGTGCAACATTAGACATTGGTCTAATGAGCATGTTTCTCCTCACAGGAAGGTTGTAGAGAGTTCAAAGCAGGTTCAATCTGTTCATTTTTTCCTTCCGCTTCTTTGGGTGTCAGTCTCGACTTCCGGTGATAACCGGAAGTGGGCGTAATTCCGGAAATAGAGGTGAAAATCCTTGTATCTCGGCAACCGTAGGTCGTAGAGACTCGGGGACAAGTCCTGCGTGTTCAGAAGGGTCGGATTATGGCAGACGGAGCGCGTTTCCAAGTGTCTGCGACGTTCGGTTCCGGAGTTATTCCCGTTTGAGTGTGTCCATTCATTGCCAATGGGGCGACTGGTTGTTGGAAAATTTCAAAGTGTCAGCCCTAGTATGGGATTTTTCAGAAAGTGTTTAGGAGCACGTTTGGGGCCATTTGGAGTGGATTGGGACAGGTTTGTATGTTGACTGTTTTGGAGTGTCTGAGGTGGTTGGTTGTGTGTAGGCAGGTGTGGGAGTGGTTAGGTTCAGGGTAAGGCTACTGGGAAAGGTGTTATTTGGAGTGATAGACATGTCTGTCATCAGCGTGCCTGCCAGCCAGCCATTTGGAAGCTAGGGTTAGGGTTACCCGATAGGGAATAGGGATGAGTGCAACATTAGACATTGGTCTAATGAGCATGTTTCTCCTCACAGGAAGGTTGTAGAGAGTTCAAAGCAGGTTCAATCTGTTCATTTTTTCCTTCCGCTTCTTTGGGTGTCAGTCTCGACTTCCGGTGATAACCGGAAGTGGGCGTAATTCCGGAAATAGAGGTGAAAATCCTTGTATCTCGGCAACCGTAGGTCGTAGAGACTCGGGGACAAGTCCTGCGTGTTCAGAAGGGTCGGATTATGGCAGACGGAGCGCGTTTCCAAGTGTCTGCGACGTTCGGTTCCGGAGTTATTCCCGTTTGAGTGTGTCCATTCATTGCCAATGGGGCGACTGGTTGTTGGAAAATTTCAAAGTGTCAGCCCTAGTATGGGATTTTTCAGAAAGTGTTTAGGAGCACGTTTGGGGCCATTTGGAGTGGATTGGGACAGGTTTGTATGTTGACTGTTTTGGAGTGTAGGGTTAGGGTTAGGGTTAGGGTTAGGGTTAGGGTTAGGTCTTGGGAAAGAAGACTGTCCCCTGTAGGGAACAGTGGGTGCACTCTCCTTCCACCCTCTTCCTCCCCGGTCCTGAAACGGTTGGCGAGCTCGCCCGCGTCTGCCACCCCGTTGGACCAGGGTCCAATCATCCTCAGGTAAACAACCATGGAAATGGTTGTTGTTTGTTTGTTGTTGTTTGTTTTATGTATTTAAATTTTTGTTAAAAAATAAAAAATAATTTTTTGTAAAATATAAACTATAATTGTTGTCAAAAATAATAATACTAATGAACTAAGGAAGGTGTGTCCCCAGCAACGTTTCGACTGTTTATCAGTCTTCTTCAGGCTAATAGGACACACAAATAACTATAGTGGTCAGTATGGCTGGTGAGCGATGTGAACAGCTCGAGGTCGAAATGAAAGGGTTAGGGTTAGGGTTAGGGTTAGGGTTAGGATAGAGAAAGTGGATGAGTCTCGGCACCGCGCAGCGGTGTCGAGGCTCCATGCACGGGCCATCCTGCTCCAGATCAGGAAAGCTCTTATTTGAGGTTGAGGCCTTTGGGGTGTAATGTTTCTAATTTTCTTATCCATGTCCTTTCAGCTCGGGTTCTCTGTGTGGCGTTCCAGCTGGGGTCCATCTGGATGATCGTGGCCCGGACAGACGACCATCCATGGGCCAGAAAATGGCTGACCAGAGGCGTGTGGGTTTCCCTCCGCCTCTGGATGTTGTAGCGGTGTTGGGTGAACCGCTGTAAGAGCGTGTTTCTGGTCTCGCCCACATACTGTAGGCCGCACATAAGACATGAAATAAGATACACGCAATTTTTGGAGTGTGGATTGCCACATGCCATGGTCTTATGGACTGTTTTATTGACATGGCTGTGGATCCAGGTGGCATGTTTGAAAAATTGGCCATGGCCTCTGGATTTTGAGGTCGATAGGGGCTTAACTTTGGCTGTCACCAGATGGTCCTGGAGGTTTTTGTTTTTCCTATAGGCTGCTATGAACCTGTGGTTATTAAGGAGTCCCGGATCAATGATTTTTTGTTGGAAATTTTCTTTGATTTTTCTGCACAGAGCGATTGCTGGCTTGGAATAGGTGGTGACGAAGGGGAGTACATCCGACGTGTCTACTGGTTTTGTTTCCAGAAAGGTGGTGAGGGCCTTCCGCCGGAAGGAGCGTACATAGCCCCTGGTGGCGAGAGCTCTGAAAAGCGTTTTTGTGGCCGCCATGAAGTCACTTTTGTGTGTGCAGATACGGTGGAAACGGAGTAATTGTGATTTCAAAAGGCCCCTATATGTGTGTTTGGGGTGGTGGCTGGTCTTATAAAGCAGGGCATGGGTGTCTGTTTCTTTGAAGAAAACTTTAATGTCTAATTTGTTTGTATGCTGGAAATTGATCCCCTTGTAGGTGGTGGTATCCAGGAAGGGTTAGGGTTAGGGTTAGGGTTAGGGTTTAGGGTTAGGGTTAGGGTTAGGGTTAGGGTTAGGGTTAGGGTTAGGGTTGGGGTTAGGGTTAGGGTTAGGGTTAGGGTTAGGGGTTAGGGTTAGGGTTAGGGTTAGGAATAGGGATGAGTGCAACATTAGACATTGGTCTAATGAGCATGTTTCTCCTCACAGGAAGGTTGTAGAGAGTTCAAAGCAGGTTCAATCTGTTCATTTTTTCCTTCCGCTTCTTTGGGTGTCAGTCTCGACTTCCGGTGATAACCGGAAGTGGGCGTAATTCCGGAAATAGAGGTGAAAATCCTTGTATCTCGGCAACCGTAGGTCGTAGAGACTCGGGGACAAGTCCTGCGTGTTCAGAAGGGTCGGATTATGGCAGACGGAGCGCGTTTCCAAGTGTCTGCGACGTTCGGTTCCGGAGTTATTCCCGTTTGAGTGTGTCCATTCATTGTGAATGGGGCGATGGGTTGTTGGAAAATTTCAAAGTGTCAGCCCTAGTATGGGATTTTTCAGAAAGTGTTTAGGAGCACGTTTGGGGCCATTTGGAGTGGATTGGGACAGGTTTGTATGTTGACTGTTTTGGAGTGTCTGAGGTGGTTGGTTGTGTGTAGGCAAGTGTGGGAGTGGTTAGGTTCAGGGTAAGGCTACTGGGAAAGGTGTTATTTGGAGTGATAGACCTGTCAAGAGTGTGCCAGCCAGCCAGCCAG